AAGTTTTTGTTTTCTGCTTTAAACACCAGCTTTTACAGTATTTTATTGCTGTGCTGTTTGTGTCCATACAATTCATGTAGTCACTATTTACTCAACACTGATCACTGCTTATCTACAGACTTCTTATTCAATAAAATAAAAATCCTTATTTTAATTAAAAATATAAATCTTCTTTAATTATTGATTCTATGTACATATATTTTATTTGTAATGTTATGTTTAATATGTAGCAATTCAAATTAATTGCTCACAAATTAATAAACATAAGTAATTAATGAAATAGGAATTAAATTACGTAAGCATTATAAACATGAAAATTTTATTATCATTTATATAAAATTTTTTCATTAAATTCAAAATAAAAATTTCCTAAAAAGAAATTCTTTTGTCAATTAATCACTTCTTTTATTTTTCTAACATTATTTTTTCTACCATTCAATCTTTATTTTTTTTTTTATCTAGCATTTGTATGGCTAACTGTATATTTTTCGTATAGCTAGTTATATTCATTCTCAAAAAGGTTAATAATTACTTTTGTTAATCAGTGAGTTAGTATAAATAATAGTTATTAAAGTGTTCGATGTTATTTAACTGTTATTATTAAATACAAATATAGTATTACTAATTGTAGAAAAAAATTAAACTTTTGATAAAGTTGAGATAGTTTATGAATTATAAATGGCTAAATGAAGTAAATGGAGTAAATGATGATGAAATAGGAGTAAATATAGTGGGTAAAATATCTGGAATTATTATAGTGAAAAATTTTAATAAGAATAAACCTTTTTATACTTCTCAGTATTTGTTTTAAAAAAACTCTATATTTATAAAATTTGGAATCTCTTACTGTCTATGTCTTTTTACTAATAAAACTGATTTTTTTCTCTTTATTCCAAATATCAAATTCAATAGTACTACCCAAGTCTATGTCAAATTTTATATTATGAGTTTCTCTTTCCAAAATAAGTTTTAAAAAAAAAAAAAAAAAAAAAAAAAAAAAACTTTTGCTTATATTAAAAAAATAATTAAATAAATAAAATTATATTTTAATAATATTTTTTAAAGCAATAATAGTTAATAATTACATAATATTTATACATAGTTATGTATATATATATATATATATATTTATACTAGTATAAAAATAAATAATTTTAAAAATAAGTGTATATACACACATTTTTAAATAAAAATATAATATATGAAATATTTTTATGTTAATAAAAAATATTATTGAAAAACTAAAAAAAAATAAGAAATTTTATAATTGTTTTCTTTTTTTTTTTTTTTATTAAATACAAAACAAGAAGTTATCATAAAATACTTCTTTTCTTTTTTTTTTTTTTTTTTTTTATATTAATTTACAGAAGCTTAAAAATAAAAAAAAAAAAAAATATATACAAATGAAAATAAAAAATAAGATGAATTAAATTAAAAAAGAAATAAGTAGATTAAAAAGAAATAATATAAAAAAAAAACTACCATTATACCCATAAATGTAAATAAGATTATAATAACTTGTTTTTATTTTTTTCAATATTTATTTCTATATAACATAATTTTTTTATCAAAAATGTTTTAGTGGTTGCATATTAAAATTGTTTATGATAATAACTTTTTATCACTATAACGTATATACATTATCTTAATTACATATTATTTATAAACATCCTTTATTAATATTAAGTCAATTTTTGTAACTTACAGTATAAATGGTCATCATGCCATAGTCAGTTTTAGAATTGATACAAATTGAATTACATAATTTACTAATATAAATGGCATTAAAAAATTCTAATATTGTATAATCATGATATTTACCAATATAATATGATTATCATTACTTTTATTTTTACTTTTATTATTATTTAAAAAAAAAAAATTAAAATTTTTTATTTTTAAATTTTTTTTATATCTTTGAATCTTTAATTCATTCAGAATAATTATAATTATTTTTAAATTCATACATTAATATTAAATAAATTAATTTTCTATAATTGTAGTTTATTTTTATCATTTATTTCAAAACTTCACACAATTTTTTCTATTACAGAAATAATTTCGATATTTCAGTAAAAAAGCAAGTTTATAAAAAAAGTATATCTTCTTAAAATTTTGAATTTTAAAAAAAAAAAAATTTTTTTAGTTAATATTCTTAAATTCTTTATATTTACTATATTTTTTTTATTATATCAACTATAAAAAATTAAAAAGAATAATTATAATAAATTATTAATTGGTTACATAAGCTAATGCAAAATTATACAATAATATTAAAATAAAATAAAAAAATAATAATTCAAGTAATATTTTAAAACAATGTTCTTTTTCTCTCCCTCTCTCCCTGTATATATATATTTGGATAAAATAAAATTATAAATGTTTAAGAAATTAAAAATAATATTTACATATATTATATATTATATAATATTACATTATATTATATTTTTTATTTTTATGAGATAATAATTCAAACGAAAAATGAATAAATACAAGTATATAATTATAAAAAAATAAAAAACATGAAAATAAGATAAATGTTAGTAGTATGTGAGTAAAATAGAAGAATAGATATGTATCTGTAAATTAAAATAAAAATAATACTATTATAACTACTATTTTATATAAAAATATAAATATGTAAATATATAAAATAAAAGAAAATAACAATAACATATAGAAAATGAGAAATAACATGCATAGAAAATTCTAGAAATGAAGTTAATGTAATTTAAAATTGTAATCTTTCTTTTATCCTTTATATTTTTTATTCTTTAGTTTTATAACATACTACAATCGACATTTTATTTTATTAAATATGAAATGTATAAATCCCAAGTTTATATAAAAAATTTATCTGAAATTATTTCTAAAATTATGCATTCTTTATTAACGAAAAAAAAAAATTAATTTTTTAAGATATATTTATTTGATATTCATCTAAAATTAAAAGATTATAATAAAAAACATAACTTCCTTTTTTGAATAAAGTATAATGATATACTTCCTACAAGTGCACTTTATATTTAACTAATCCTTTTTTATTATATTTAATTTTATTCTCTAATATGAATATGTTAAAAATGGTAAAAGAGCAAATAAAATCCATTATTATAAAATAATAAAAATTACTTATAGGAGGAAACAAAAAAGGCTAAAGTTTTTAAAGTAAGCATTTGAATAATAAAACAATACAAAAAAAAAAAAATTAAATAATGATAAAAAAAAAAACTTTTAGTATGTATAATTATTACATAATTATAAAACAAAAACTTAAAAATGACATAAAAAAAAAAAATAAAAATAAAAATGTATTTATAGAATATGTATCTATTTTGTTGTTGTATTTATTTTTCGTTTATACCATAATCCTTGTAATGTTTAATTTAAATTAACTTAATATTTTTTATTGAATTAGTAACAATTGTCGTAATAAATTCTACGAAGATAAAGTTCCATGGTTTTAATAAATATTTTTAAAAAAAAAAAGAATAAGTAAAAAAATATATAAAAATAATAAAAAAGTTTTGAAAGCTCTATATAATTGTATCTAAATATAAACTATTCTAAAAAATTTTTAAGTAAAAACAGAATATAACATTTTTTTTTGCATTTCTAAATAATTCTTTATATTATTCTTTTTTAATTTAAAAAAAAAAAATTAAATAAAAAAATGAAATGAAATATTTATTTTGTAAGTATATAAAATCAACTAAAAATTTATTATTTTTTGATTATTTAAACAATATTTCTATTATTAAAAACATAATAAAAAATATATAATAAATAAGAGGTTATAGTATATAATTAATAATTTTAGGATTTAGGATGTAGGATTTAGAATTTAGAATTTAAAATTTTTATGTTGTAGTTATAGATTTAGCTTTTAATAGATATTTCTCCATTAAAATTAAAAAAAAAAAATTTCAAAACTAATTTTTTTTTTAAACATCATATTGTTATAAGTATTTATTTGTTATTTTTTAAATTATATTTTCATATTTTTTGTTTTTAACTTATATTATCCTTACTGAAAAAAGGGGAATTATTTTAAAAATCATTAAAAAAAATATTAGAAATAATTCCTCAGTAATTTTTTTTTACATTTTTAGAGATACAAAAAATGGATCTTAAACTTAGTGATGCTACGAGTATTGATTCTAATGATAATCTAAATGGGGGAAATTCAACTGTAGAATTCGCTCATAGGGAAATTGAAGGTGCAACTGTTTCAATTCCAGAAAATCCATTATATGATGATTTAGATTTACGTGATTCCATTCAAAATCCATCTGAAGATATCAATTTGGATTCAACTTCATCAACGAATCTTCATCATAAAAACTTGTTAAGTATTTTTCATTTAGTTATGATTATTATTTCTTTCCTTCGTTTTGCGGTAAAATAAAGTTTATAATTATATAACAATTAAAATTATAATTATATAAAATTGATTGTCAAAAAAATATATATAATATGATAAAATTTATAATAGTAGATAATTAACAATGATATATTAAAAACTTATAACATTGCTTAGGTAAATAAAAAAATACAAGTGAAATAAAAGTATGCATGCAATATCATTTTCATAAGGAAATAATAATGTATTAATAAAAAATAAAGAAATAACTAAAACATTATATATACAGTACGTATATATATATATATATATATATATATATATTTTTATTGTTATAAATAAAATATATCAAAATTAAGTTTGGATTTGCATAATAATAACAACAGTGAACTAATATTAAATTAATTTTAATGATTATGTAACTATTTTATAAGTTAGTTAAATACTAATATTAATATTAATATTAAAATAAAAAAAATAAAAATATAGAAAAATTTGTTATCATAAATGCTTTCTCATAAAAAAATTGGTGAATAAATAAAAATTCTAAAAAATATATTAAATGAAAATATTAAATTAATTTTTTTATAACGATATTTACGTTAAAATCATTATAGAAAGCAGATTAAATATAAATTATATGTAATTAAATGTTAAGCTTTGACAATTGAATAATAAAGAATATTAATAACCTTTTTGAATTTTTAATGTGGTGGACCAAAGTAGAGAAGAGAGTTGTATATATGCAAGATATTCAAAAATATACATATTTTAAAATACGTATATGATTAATAAAAGATATGGTTGACTTTTTATGATATTATAGCTAATAAATTATAAGGAAGTAGCAAGTTCTTACTCATACTTGCTACTTAAGAAAACAGATAACAAAAAAAAGAAATTTTTCTCATTGTTCTTATGTTAATTTTTTTTTCTTTTATATTTTATTTAATTATTTTTTCATCTTTAGATTATTGAATAATGGGTTTCATTATTTGAGTGTTCAATTTCATTAATCGAATTAATATTTTAAATAATGGAATACTAAATTCGAAGTTTAAAGAAAACAAAAAGGACTTAACTTTTATTATTATTTAAATTTTATGTATTTTTAAAGATTTTTTAGTAACCTAATTTTGAATTTATTATGTTATTTTAAAATATTATTTTGAATATAATCAATAGATTTAATGATAATTTATGCTTTTAATAAAAATAAAAATAAATTTGTATTAAATAAACTTCTCTTAACTAATATTCTTTAATGTAAACTATATATATAGGATTTATTTTGCTATAATGGAGATATATTTTTATAACAGTTAAAAACAATAGAGACCACTCTATATGCTCTATATTAATTTATTCTTTTAATAATATATCGAAGTTATTTGACAATAGATTAATAAATCATAAATACTCTATTTTATACATCATATTATACGAACATTAACATATTGATCTATTAATTGATTGTTCATCAAATATGCCAGGATATTGAGTAAAATTAATAAGGAGCATGTCGAGTAGTCTCTATTAGTTTTAACCGTTATAAAAATATCTCACTATTAAAGCAAATTTTATATATATAGTTTACATAAAAGAATATATATTATTTTAGAGGAGTTTATTTAACTAATATAAATTTATTATTATTTTTATTAAAAGCTTAAATTATAATTAATGCTATTGATTATACTCTAAATAATATTAAAAGTAAAATAACAAATACAAAATAAAATTATTAAAAACATTTTAAAAATATATAAAATTTAAATAATAATAAAAATTTAAATATTTTTGTTTTCTTATAAAATTTGAATTTAATTTTCATGGATTCAAAAGTTAACTCAATTAATAAAATTTAATTCCTTAATAAAAATCCCTTTAACAACAAAAAAAAAAAAAAAAAATAATTTTTTTTTTAAATTAAAATTAAATAATCATAATTAACAAATAAAATTTTCAACATCACAAAATGAAAACATTGAATGTTCTTTTTTTAATTATCTATTTTATTAAGCAGTAAGTGTTAATAATTGATTTGTTATTTTTTGTATGATTAATTATCTACCATTTCGTAAAATATTAATTATATCTTTCATTAACCATTATTATACAAAAGTATTTGAGCAACTAAGAAATTAATACCTCAATATTTGTATTTTACTAGATTAATAAAGAGCATCATTAAATTTTTTCAAATATTAATAAATATAAATAAAATAAAAAGATAGATATAAACGCTTGATACATAAAAAAATATTTCAAACAAGTATTTAAAAAAAAAATGATGTTTAAGTATATGTTCATCGGAAAGAATTTCATAATGAACTTACTATTTTTTGAATAAAAAATTAGAATTTATTAAAAATATTTTTAAATAATTTTTATAGATTAATGTAATAGAATTATTTCACATATAATCAATGATCTATTTCAAATGTTTAGACTCCTAAATAAGTTAAATTTAGTAAAACTATTCAAATCTCTTATAAATTTATTATTGTATTATAAATAAATAAAATATTGAGCTATATATTTTATTTAGAAGGTAGTAAAGTCATGTGAAACAAGTTATTTATTTCATTTTGTATAGTTTATTTATATAAAAATTAAATTATATTAGTGAAAAATACTTTCACAACTAATCAAATTTGTAGAATTTAGTGTAATTTTGATTTGTTCATTCAATAATTGGTGATTTATTAACTGGGCGTTCTGTGACTTTACCAGAGTACTGAACAAACAAATTAATAAAGAACACGTAGAGATGGCTCTACAATTTTGTTTTATTTATATATATATCATATTCTTCGAACGATTAATTCTTAATTATGTGCTCTACTTCGTTCAGCATTCTTTTATTTCAATAGGCATTTATTTACTTTAATAAAAATCCGTATTGAATATTGATTATTATTCAATTGTAATTTATTTAATTATTTGTTATGAGTTATGTTCAGTAATTTAAATATATTGCTGTTGAATTAACAAACATAAACAATTAGTAGAAATGCAAATTAATTATATGAATATTAATTATGTGAAAATTTTATTGTCATATGTATAAAATTTTCTCTCACAAATTAAAAATATAAATATTATGCAAATTAAACTCTTTTACGTATATATTTTTATCTGTTTATGATCTCATTTTTATTGGTACTAAATCTTACTCTC